GCCGGATCCCGGCTGGCGCCCGGGCGGTTCCTACGCTGAGCCGCCGCCTGGCCGGCTGGTTCCTGCGGCGGCTGCCGGGGCGGCCCGGTCGCGCGGCCCTTCGCCATGTACACCTTCGTGGTGCGCGACGAGAACAGCAGCGTCTACGCCGAGGTCTCCCGGCTGCTGCTCGCCACCGGCCACTGGAAGAGGCTGCGGCGGGACAACCCCAGGTTCAACCTGATGCTGGGAGAAAGGAACCGGCTGCCCTTTGGGAGACTGGGTGAGCTTCCCCGTTTCGCGCCCTCCCGCTCCTCCCGGTAGAACGAGCGCTTTTGTCTTAAGGTCAGAAACCTTCCCCTCTGTCGTTCCTCGGGCGGATAAAAAAATGCATCCCTAACGGGCCAGGCCCGTCGTTTTTCATGCCTTCTCGGGTCCCAAATCGAATTCGGGGCGGGAGTGTCGGTGCGGGCCCCCGGGACGGCGGCTGCCTCCTGACAATGACCCGGCCCTGCAGCCCCGGGGTAGGAACCTAGGTCTGCAAATGGGCTTGTGTAGCTCCCTTAAATTACAGGTAGACTAGGTATTAGCAGTTTGCCTGCTCAAGAAATTCCACTAGAGTCTAGTCTCCTGACAATGACCCGGCCCTGCAGCCCCGGGGGCGTCGGCCTCGGGAGCGGGGAGCCAATGCCGCGCGTTCCCCGGATTCCCCGGTCCTGACGCCCCCAAATCGGGCAGGTCGGCTGGGCAGATCACCGGGCGGGGCGAGGCTCCGCGGAGCCTGCGGCTGACCATCTTGCAAATTTCCTCCACCGGGGATTCCGCCCTGTCTGTGTTGGCTCGGGAGGGGAGCTTGTGTGTGTTGAAAACCCTGAGGATTCAGCTCCCCGAAGGCTCAGATAAAGCGGCAGGGGATTTGGAAAAGACCTCTGGATTCCGAAAACGGGAGCTTCAGCAGTGAGCCCAACCCGCGGAAGGGCGGAAGGGTGTCTGATTTTAGACCTTCCCTTAGTTTCACCAAAGAACACGTTTTCACACTTGCGCATTGAATGCAGATTTTACGGGACCCAGGTTTCTCTGCCCTACTGTCTCCGAGGGAGTTCCCTTCATTCACACGGTTGAAGCTGGCACCCCCATGCCTACATCTTCCCCTGTAGGAAGAGGCAGGGGCAAGGAGAGGACCAACGGCTCCTTTTTAGATGACGTAATCCAGAAGTTGTGCAGATCACTGCCATTTACATCCCACTGACCTGCACATGGTCTCACGGCGTCTCCTCCCTGCACAGTCATCCGGAATTGCAGCCTCACTCAGGGCCGCCGTGTGCCCTGCCAAAATTCCCCTGGGGTGGGCACCCCATCGTACTGCCAAAGATAGAAGGGGAGAAAATAATGAGGAAAAGTCATCTCTGCCTTGGAGGGCATCCCAGAGAGAACAGTTCTATGTCCAGGAGAGGAGACAGTTTTTAGAAATAGGTGTGGTCAGCGGGTTGGAGACCTTGAATAGGCAAAGCCTGAAAATAGCCATTTGGAACAGACTAGCCCTTGGTGAGCTGACAGAGCACAGCTGGGTGGGAGCCTATAGAATTGTAATGATTTGAGGAATGAAGGGGGTTTCAGCCTAGTCTTCCTGATATGTTTTCTTTGAAATGAGACCATGGACAACTTTTTATTGTTATACAAATTTATGATGTATGTTGGGGACTCCATGGAAGGGCTGATTCCAACCCCCAGAAATCTTCGAATACAGAGAATGGGCCTGGAGATTGATTCCCTTTTGTTAAACTGTCTCCCCAGGAAGCCCTCAGCGAGAAGAATACCTTCCCTGAAAGAAGAAAACCTGCTTATAGTTGAGAACGTTTATTTCCTCCTTGCTCGGTCTGCTCCCCTGCCTGCCTGACTTTCCTCTTTGGACTGGTCAGTGCCCGGCTGAAAGAGCTTAGGTGGAATGCTAAAATTAAAAACTGACGAAAATGGCTCTTTGCAGGGGGGATCGGCATTGCTATGGGGCTCAGGACTAGGGTGTAGGATTAGGGTTAGGAGCAGAATCCTAGAAGGTCCAAATCCTAAGCAGGTACCATGAAGTCAGCAACTGCTCAGGGAACGTTTGCTTTTTATGGGAAAGAAAACAGCATCCGATTGGGAGTTTGGGATTAGCAGCTGCAAACTATTACACATGTATAACCGGATCACTTTGCTGTATACCAGAAACTAACACAACAGTGTAACTCAACTATAGTCCAGTATAAAATTTAAAAAAAGAAAAATTCTAAAAAGAATGTCAGCCAACCCCCCCCATACTTCAATAAAATAAACATTTTTTAAAAGGTTAGCATCTTAAAAAAAAAAAGAAGGAAAAAAAAAAACAAAACAAAAAAACCAGCATCCCACAACCAGTTGGTTATAATATGCCTTCATTGTTAAGGATATTTACCTTTCACACAGTTCGAAACCCAAGGAGATGGCCCAGCGGATAAAGGCCAAAGAATGCTGCTGCCTTGGTGATGTGAAGGTGGGTAGCTCAGGTGTGAACCAGTCCATCTGTCCAGGGAGATGGTGAACATAAATTGAGGCTTTTATAGAGATTATCATACTCAGTGAAGTAAGTCAGACAGAGAAAGATAAATATATGATATCACTTATATGTTGAATCTAAAAAATAGTACAAATTAATTTATTTACAAAACAGAAACAGACACACACATAGAAAACAAGCTTATGGTTGCCAAAGAGGAAGGGTGGGAGGGATGAATTAGGAGTATGAGACTAACAGATGCACACTACTACATAAAAAATAAACAAAAAGGATTTACTGGGTAGCACAGGGAACTATATTCAATATCTTGTGATAACCTATAATGGAAAAGAATCTGAAATATATATATGTATAACTGAATCACTTTGCTGTACATCTGAAACTAACACAGTATCGTAAGTCAACTATACGATAATAAAATTTTTTTTAAATTGAGGCTTTTGTTTTTATTTGTATCCTTTTGCCCTAATTTTAAAGAGGAGGGGGCATGCAGTACAATCTATTGAAAACGGGTTTCCCTGTGAGAGGACGCACAGAACATCCTCAGGGCTTCTGAATTTACAGACACGGCCTCTTGGAGCATCTAGTGGCCCTCCTAGAAGCTTGCACAGGGAGACATGCTTGAGAACAGCAGGATCGTAGTTCTCCTACCTTCCTTGATGACTGTAGAAAGCAAGGGTAGCAACATCAAAAGCCTAACTGTTTAAGTCCTTACTGTACAGAGATGACTAAATCCATATATGTTAAGCCAAGTGTGCAGTGCAGTGGGGATCCAGGAGAGGCGAAATAGAAAATACTCTCCCACCCAAAGAAGAAAAAACAGAGGCAGCAGTGGTCTTTGGCAGACCTACGATGGCGGTATCATAATAGCCACTCTGGGGAGGGTGAGAATTGCCAGTGAGTTGCTGAGCAAAGGGGCGTAGAGGGGCCGGGCAACTGAATCGCTCCCTTTCCAACACACAGTCCTGAAAGGGGAGAAAGACAAGCTAAGCGTGACCCTGCTCTCCCTCCTGCGTGCTGGTGCTGACATTGTCATTTCCCACTTGAGAAATTGTCTGTTTCCCTTCTGAGCCTCTCCTTCCCTTCACAGGTCACGAGCCTGGCCTGATGCAGTTGGTGAATTACTACAGGGGAGCCGACAAACTGTGTCGCAAAGCTTCTTTAGTGAAGTAAGTGCTTTAAGACCCGTGTTTTCCATTTTTCACCTGAACCTTTTGAGCTTTCATCCTGAAGCGCTCAAGCAAAAGTGTGAGATCGTCTTTAAAGGGAGAAGACACTTATTTAAAAAGTCAGCAAAGATCAGCTTTTAGTCACAGTCCAAACTTGGCTGTACGTGCCTGTCTGTCCCTTAAGTTGAGGCTCCCTAGAAGCAGAGCCTGAGACAGGGCTTCTGGCGGAAGTGATTTCTAAGGGGAGGGCTTGCAGGAGCAACGCGCTCAGAACCAAGGGCAGGGCATCTGGGGAAGACGCGAAGCAAGGAGGTGGTTTCAGCTGAAGTCTCGCCTCTGCCTGACTCCATGGAGCTTGAACAGCAGTGAACAGCCCCTCAATGTTCTCTACTGTGATGTCGCCCAGCCACTGGCTTTGGGCGGGACACAGCTTCCCCAGCGCTTCTAGGCACGGCCTGGTCCCTAGAGAAGAGGCACGCCTAAGCCCTTGGCAGCCAAAGCTCAGCAGCCAGGGGTCCCTCAGAAGGGACACCTGGGCAGAATATACCAGTGTCTACTGCACCACCCATCTCTGAGCAGTGGGCTTACAGCCAGGTGCTGAAAGAACCGTGTCATAAGGTGGAAGGAAGCAGCCTTATATAGTGATTAAGATCTAGGATCAGCAGCTTGGGTTTTAATTTCAGCTCTTAGCAGCTTGGGCAAATTTTCTGATCCCTCTAAGCCTCGGTGCATCCCTCATAAAGAGGTTGTGATGTATGTAAAGCGTGCAACACAGTGACACAGAGTGAGCGTTTGACGCTATGCCTTAGTTTCCTTTTCTGTGAAATGAGGATAATAATAGCAGCTACCTCAGGGTTGTCGTGAGGATTAGTTGAGTTACTTTACATAAAGGCCCGGAATAATGCGCGTGCCAGAGTTAACACTGTATAAATGAAAGGTGGGTGTGGCCCCTAAAATCGGGTCTCCAGCATTCCCTCCACAGTGGCTAGTGAACATGTGTGTGTAGCCAAACGAATCATTTAGGTAAGAAGACACTAGAAGGCTTGACCCAAAGCAAATGCTGTTCTCCCCAGTCACACAGCTTTCCAGGCTCTAGCTGTTTACTAGTTTGAGTGCTGGTAGGAATATTTCCACCTTTTTGTTCAGACTCACCGCCCCCACTAACTTATGTATCCACTTCTTCCTGTGATGGATTTTCATGATTTACCAGCTATCCTGAAGGAGAACGAGGCTTTCTGAAGTCTTCTTACATATTTACACATATAGAGTGCAAACAGTTTTTTCAGCAGAACTAGAAGTAGGACACAATTATTTAACCAGATTGTCCATTTAGACTTTTTATTTTTATTTATTTATTTATTTATGGCTGTGTTGGGTCTTCGTTTCTGTGCGAGGGCTTTCTCTAGTTGCGGCGAGCGGGGGCCACTCGTCATCGCGGTGCGCGGGCCTCTCACTGTCGCGGCTTCTCTTGTTGCGGAGCACAGGCTCCAGACGCGCAGGCTCAGTAGTTGTGGCTCACGGGCCTAGTTGCTCCGCGCCATGTGGGATCCTCCCAGACCAGGGCTCGAACCCGTGTCCCCTGCATTGGCAGGCAGGTTCTCAACCACTGTGCCGCCAGAGAAGCCCCATTTAGAAATTTTTATAAAATGCTTACTCATTCTTTATTCTATGATGATTTTTTTCCCTCAAGATAGAGGTTGAATTCTGTTTTTGAAGTAGAAAGCAGAGAACAGTAATGTTCTCTATATTTGCATACTTGGCAGCTATAATAGGGTGAAGAGAGTACAGAGCTGGAGTCATGAGCAGGTCTGAATAGGTATCCTGACCTCTGTGACCTTGGACTGTGCCACTCAGAATCTGTGGGGACGGAGGTGATCACGCCTGCTCTTTGCTCTTCTGCAGCATGCGGCGTGGTCTGTCATGGCACCTTATAAATGATGACATGACTTATGCAGACTAGGGGTTGTCATCATTCTCATAAGCTTCTTTCGTTCTCTCAGGTGTCCTGCAAGGGACTGTAGTAATTCCAGGAGGGAATGATTACCTTTGTCATTTTGTCTCTCCCCCATAGTTTGTATGGCTCAAAAGAGCTCCAGAAAGTTAAAAAAATGTCATCTTAGGTGGCAGTCAGAGAAGACAGCCGGGTTGCCCATGGCCGTAGCAGTTAGTGTTGAGCCAGGACGGCTCTCATCTGTACAAATGGGCCCCGTGGGCAGTGTGCCTGGGCGTCCCTTGAGGCTTCCCAGGGCCTTGATGGGGCTCCATGCTGGACCCTGTACAGCAAGCGCCTGTCACTTCTGGGAGCTTTAGAAATTCATCAGGGCCCCATGGCCATAGTCTCAGAGCGCTCAGGGGCTGTCCTCCTGGCCCTGATTGGAGCTTTCTTTTCCTCTTGTGAGCATTTCTCACATCTCATGTGAGATGTGACTAAACCTCCATTTGTGGCTGCTTCCCAAATGGGCCTTTTTTGGAAAGGGAACAAATGCTAGAGATTTCCGGTAGAAACTGGACTGGGTTCTGTACAGGAAATGAGGGCTTCAGATGAAGGGCATTCTACAGACCAGCGCTGGCCAACAGAAATAGAATGCTGGCCACATGTGTGATTTTAAATTGCTTAGTAGCCCCATTAAAATGAGTACAAAGAAACCGGTGCAATTTATTCTAATAATATATTTTATTTAACCAAATAAATCCAAAATGTCATGTAATTAATATTAAAAACAACTGATGGGATATATTCTTTTTTTTTTCCGAGTCTTCAAAATCTGGTGTGTATATTTTACATTTATAGCACAACTAAGCTCAGATATTAAATTTTTATTGGAAGTCCTATGTTTAGATTTCGTAAAAATGTGTGGTTGAAAAGGTGGATTTACATACGCAAGTCATTCTGACATACATAAAAGTTTTTCAATAACTGTATTAAATACCAAGATATAATTTTCCTTTAATATTCACATGTACATTGACAAAGCAGGTTCATAACATGAGAAGAATTGATTTGACTTTGAAGCAAAAGCATATCATTTTTAAAACTACGTCCAAGTTAAGTAAATTCACCAACTCATGTGTCAACTCAGTATTATTAATATTGAATCCAGAGGAGGTACTGAATAAATTGAAAAGCAGCTCTAAATTTATCATTATCAACAAAGTGTTCTTCAAACTTTTCTTTAGTTTTTGCAGCCAGTTTGCATAATGTTGTCTATTACAAGGAAAATCTTATGCATACTGAGTCATAAAACTATGTAAAATCATTATTATCGACTTACATTATGAAGTTGGAACACAAATTCTCACACCTGTTGGTCTACGTCATAAGTAAGATCTTTTCTTCCAACTTCCTTGGAGCTTGAAATTTAGCTTGTTTATATGCAGCGTGGTTATCGGTGAAAAAATGAAAACCACACTGCATTTTTTATCTTTGATTATTTTTATTTTTTTTTATTTTTTTTTATTTATTTTTTTTTTCTTGCGTTATGCGGGCCTCTCACTGTCGTGGCCTCTCCCATTTGCGGAGCACAGGCTCCGGACGCGCAGGCTCAGTGGCCATGGCTCACGGGCCCAGCCGCTCCGCGGCATGTGGGATCTTCCCGAAACGGGGCACGAACCCGCGTCTCCTGCATCGGCAGGCGGACTCTCAAGCACTGCGCCACCAGGGAAGCCCTATCTTTGATTATTGAACGAGGTTAATAGTTGCATGAAAAGAACGATTTGACAAGCATTCCTCTTATTTTAAGGAAATGTGAATTGGAGTTTACAGTACGGGGGAACCTTGTAAAACTCTCCCATCTCTCAGTCAGCGAGCATTGGCAAAGAACACAGGATCATTAAATTCCTCATCTTGTGTTTCTTTCCTGGCTCTATACCTGCGAACCATTGTAGCATTTGCGAGCATATACTGAACCATTTTAACAACTGTATCCATACTGAGTGCAAATGTTTTCAGTATGTATCATGCGGGCTTCCCTGGTGGCGCAGTTGTTGGGAGTCCGCCTGCCGATGCAGGGGACGCGGGTTCACGCCCCGGTCCGGGAAGATCCCACATGCCGCAGAGCGGCTGGGCCCGTGAGCCGTGGCCGTTGAGCCTGCGCATCCGGAGCCTGTGCTCCTCAGCGGGAGAGGCCACAACAGTGAGAGGCCCGCGTACTGCAAAAAAAAAAAAAAAAAAAAAAAGAAAGAAAAATGTATCGTGCAATGAAGCAAATGTTTCCAATATGTGTGGTACAACAAAATAAAGCAATAAAGCAAACGTCAGTCTATTAAAATCCCAGTAAATCCAGATTTTAACCCAACCTAGCTGAAGTAATGTCTGTCACAATAGAAGCTGACTTTTCCCATGTAGATGAAATTCTTCTTGGACAAATGTAAAAGATTAGAAAATATCCTCACCACGAGTTTATATTTTAGGCTGCAATTTGACAATAATTTTTTCATGTATTTGGAAATCTTTTGAGGCAAAATATTAATTGGGCAGCATCTCTTATGTCACTCAACTCATCTAAAGCTAAGGAAAAATATTTCAGAATTTTCCAGTTTTGAATCAATCTTTAATATTGTTAGAAATGCTTTGTACTCTCTGGGCAATTAGTGATGGCTTAACTAAAGATGGTTCACTTTTTATAAAACATCTTTTTAGTCTTTTCCTCAAAATAATTTCTATTACCACATTTCCATCTAAAAGGATGTGCGTTTTGCGTGTGTATGTAAGAATCCAAGCCACTTTAGAGCTGACCGAAGTTACAAGCTCAGATCCTAAGAAAAATATGTTTAAAGTTTTTTTGTTGAGTTTTTAATTCTGATTTCAGCCACTAATTCCATTGCTTCTCTTTAGACTATTGAGAGGAAAACACCTATCAAATTCATTATGTATTTGCTGAAAATGTCTCCTTACACAACAAACTTCATTTTTCCTGCCACAGCAAATTGTAATTGCCATTTGCTAGGAAATTTGTGACACGTCTTCTTCTAGTGCTGATTTTCTTCTTTATTGTCTGGTCATAGTTCCAGCTTCTGCATCCCCACTCAATTCCGTGTCAGTAGAATGCCTTTGTTTTAAACTTAAAAGTTTGTCCATACTCATTTTTTTTTAACTAGAAGAGTAATTATACGTTATTTACCAATTATGATTTACCTAGCTATCTCTGTAACTTCGCTGTGTGCATAATAAACACATTATAATGTTTCATCAGTGCCTGGAAAAAAATTCACATGAGCTGAATCCATCTGTTGTCCCCCAGTAGAACAGTGATGCATTTATGTCTAATTCCAGAAGCAGCACATGCGCCTGACATGCACGCCACCCTCTAACAACATCTGAGGTCACACGGTGGTTAAAGTGAAAACGTCGTCTACCGAAACAGTAATGTTGTGCTTGGTGGAAACATATTTTACAATGCTTCAGCTTTTAAATGAAAACTAAACAAAACGGGAAATTCAGTTTCTGGGTTGCATTGGCCACTTTTCAAGTGCTTGGAAGCGCTTGGAAACTCCACGTGGCTAGTGGCCGCCGTATTGGACAATGCAGATAGAGCTGAATGGTCAGTGAGTTAGAAATGTATTGATTGTTTTTGTTCCTTTGAGTTCTTTAAGTTAAATTCCATTGCCTCTAACGTAAAAATAGCTTTATTTAAAATCTCAGTTTAAAGTTTCTTTTCATTATTTCTGCCATTGGCTCGTAGGCTGGGTTTTGCTGATGAATCATAACCCAGGCTTTAACAGTTCTGTTCTAGATAGAAGAGGGAGTGCAGCTCAGGGGAGGCCTGTGAATGTCTTTGGGCAGGTTTCTCCCTCCTCTGATTCCTGGGGAGCAAGGGTAGGTTTTTTTCTTTCTATTTTCTTTCTTTTTCCATTTTTTTTTTTGGCTGCACCTCGCGGTTTGAGGGATCTTAGTTCCCCAACCAGGGATTGAACCTGGGCCCTCGGCAGTGAGAGCCCGGAGGCCTAACCACTGGGCCACCAGGCAATTCCCAAGGATAGGTTTAGAATTGGGACATGGGAGTGATTCAGGGCTTGCATCCTGCTTGTTTCTTACTACCTTTGTGATCTTGGGAAATTCACTTCTCTGTGACCCAGTGCCTCATCTGTGAAATGTGATGCTGGCGCCTCCCCCCAGGGGTCTGATTGGAGAGGAGATACAATGTGAAGCCTTTGTGTTTATTAAGTGCCTGCCCAGGGCCTTTCTTTATATTCCATTATATTATGGGGTTTTTTTTTTTTTGAGGGGGGGCAGGTGGTGTGTTTAGTTATGACCACTGGAGTCCCAGGTTCCATTAGAAAGATTCTTCCTTTATTCTGTCACAGAAGCCAGGCTGAGCTAAAAGCAAGAAATGAAGAACAAAAATGTCTTTAGATAATTCAGATTCCTGAGTATTAGCCTTTTCTCTCCGGAGTTGGGCCAAGGTGGTATTTTTTGCTAGTAATCCAAATAGTTTCCTCAGTTCTCCACTTTGTTTTTTTAGGGTGGGTCTAGCTCAGCTACAGCATGTTTGGTGAAAAGATGTTGGTTCAGGATTACTTCAAGTTGTTTCCTTAGAGATGCATTTTAAAAGGAGCTGAAGTTCTGGACATGAAGCCCCTTTTGAATTCACTGGAGCATGCCTATAAGGTCGCGGGTAACAGCTGTGAGCTGCCCTGTGGTGCCTTGGAGGTCTGCCCCGTGAGTGGGATAAAAAGGAGACCTAGCCCTGGTCGTGCCCGGCTTCCTTCAAGAGCTCTGGGGCAAAGCACTGGCTGTTCTGAATAGAGGGACAGAGGGTACTCAGAAGAGAGACTGACCCTCTGTCATCTGCCAGGCTCGTCAAGACCAGCCCAGAACTGGCTGAGTCCTGCGCGTGGTTCCCCGAGTCCTATGTGATTTATCCAAATAACCTCAAGACCCCAGTTGCTCCAGCTCAGAATGGAATCCACCCGCCAATCCAGAGCTCAAGGACAGATGAGAGAGAATTTTTCCTGGCTTCTTATAATAGAAAGAAAGAAGATGGAGAGGGCAACGTTTGGATTGCAAAGTCATCAGCCGGAGCCAAAGGTGAGTCGGCACTGTTGCCCCTTCTCCCTTCCCTGTAGGTTCCCATTGTGTTTTGTTAGATTCAAATGATGTCTTTAGATGAGTGGCTATTCTAATCTGAATCCTCGAGGGTGGAGCCCTCGTTTCATTACATAGTTTAAAATATCTGCGTGCTGGTGACTTAGAAACGTGTATCTCCAAATCAACTAAAATAGAATAAAATAAAATTTTTTTTAAAAAGTGAAATAAAGTAAAATAAAATAAAAAAATAGAAGTGTCTCGAAAATAGAATAAACTCGAGCTGAGGTCTTTCCCTTTAAGCTCCACATCCAAAAGCAGGCATTTTCAGCATAACATGTCTGATATAGAACTCTTTATTTCCTTCCCAACTACATCCGCCCCAGCCTACTCCTCTTTCCATCTTCCCATGGAGTATATGATTCCACTTTTCACCCAGCCTCTCAATCCCCAAACCTAGGAGTCCTCTTTGGCTTTACAATCTATTCCTAATGCATCAGTAGGTCTTGCTAACTGTACCTTCAAAATAAAGTCTGCAATGGACTTTTGCTTGCCATTCCCGCTGCTCTCACTTAAATCAAAGCTCCTTTTCTCTCTATTCTGGGTAACTGCAGCACCTGCTCCCAGCAGCTCTCCTGCTCTTGGACAGAGTGATGTTTTAAAAACAGAAACGTGATCATGTTACGCCCCACTCAAGACTTACCAGCTGGCTTCCCAAGGCGACTAGAATAAACTCGAGTCCTGCTGGAAGTCTCCGTCACTTGATATTTGCCTGTATCTCTGATCTCATCTCTTATTCTTGGCCTTGCTCCCTGTACTGTAGCCATAACACCTGCCTAGCATCCCTGAAATACTCTAAATTCATCTCTGTACCTGGAATGAGCTTTCATGGACTATTTTTCATTTCTCAGCTCAGATGTTGCCTTGTCAGAGAGGCTTTTCTTCTTCTTTTTTTTTTTTTTTTAGAGAGGCTTTTCTGATCTAAAATAACCTCTGTGCCCATTGCTTTCTATCCTTTCCCCTGCTCTATTTTCCATCCTTGCACTAACCTCTTCCCAGCACTCTATTACATATTAGTTTATCTGTTCATCTCCCCCATAATCCTGCACACTCCATATAAACACAGACTTTCTGTCTTGTTCATATCTGTACCCTCCCCATAGGCACTTAATGGATGTATGTTGAGTGAATGCAGAGAAGGCGTAAGGTATTGTCATACTAACTCAGGCTTAAAATGTAGGCAGCTGCCAATGTAATGATCACATAGACACAGTCCCTCTCTGTAACTACCATCATATGCTCTCTTAAAACCCACTCCATTTTGAACTTACTCCTTCTTTCATTGCCTTGGAAGACCATCTGGCCATTGGTACTCATTTCTGTCCCTGGTCCAGTGGATCTCACCTTCTTTTCCACCAACCGTGAGACAGGAGGGCATCACCTGGAATCTCCTGACAGTGGGAGAGTTGGACTCTTGCCACAAGCCAGGTACCTCACCTGCTTCTTCCTCCCCTCCTGGGACTTCCTCTCCAGGAGAGTCCCCTAGCTTTGTTCTAATAGTAAGTGGGGGAATTGAAAGAGGAAATAGTCATCCGCAGTATTCCAGATTCCTCCTTTGGGTCGGGGCTGGAATCAGGATGGCCGTTATGAGGCTATCGTGTGTCCTTGTGTCATGGACTTGACTGGTGCCGGAACCATGAGTGAGGCAGAGCCCTGGGTAGAAGGATCTGTCAAGTCGTGGCGGTGATCCCACCTAGGTGGTCCCTGGACCCTCACCAACACAAGATATAGAGTGATTCTCAGCAGCAGAGGGAGGTCATAAAGAGAGAATAAAATGCCAAACAAAGAAGACGTTTTGCTTTGGGAGTTGAGGAGATAAGTGGTGTGGATTTGTTTTGTTTAGGCTGAATGAATGACTTTTATTCTTGTTAAACAAATACTTAGTGCCTACTACATGCTGGGTGTAGTTGGCTTAACTTCACCCTATATCCAGATCAAGCCACTGTTCCCCGCCTCCACCCCCGTCTGGGATCTGAGTCACCTTCACGTGTCACCTGGAGCATGGCTCCCTGTTCTCCTGTTCTTGGCTGTTCTCCAAAGTCTACACAAAATACAGCAGACAGAGATCCTGTTAGAGCACAATCAGACCACGTCACATCTGTACTCAGCACCGTCTCTGGGGCCAGGACAGCACCTGGCATGCAGCAAAGGTTCAATATATGTATTGAGTGAATGAGTGAATGGATGGATGAATGAATAAGAGAAGTAATGAACGTTTGGAGGGAGATAAAGAGATCAATGAGACGGACATGGTTCTCTTGCCCTCAGGGACCCATAGTCTAGTCAGAAAGAAGGCTAATGATGCATTTATTTCCAGATTAGCTAAATGCTGAGATGGGAACAAAGAACCCGAAAAACCACTGTGACTGCGACCTTGAAGCTCCTAGAAGAACCCCAGCTTCATAACTTAGTGAGGATAGAAACAAATATCCTCCAGGTGTAGTTAGTGAGGATAGAAACAAACGGTATAAGAAACACAGTTAACAAACACATGGAAACATGCTACACTGGTATACAAAACTTACAAAATAAATGTGGATTTTATGTATCATTTTACATCTACAAAGTAAGAAAACAAAACCCTTCAGTGGTTGTGTTGCTGAGTTTGTTGTGAACTGGTCCCTCGCAGTGGTGATACACAGCCCTTTGAAGCAGCAATAGGATCACACAGAGCAAGGGTCAGAAAGAGTTCCTTTGCTTTTGGCTCACTCATCTCGTTCCTGAAAATTTACTCCAGGGAGATAGTTAAAAAGTAACAAGGGTGATCTACAGCGAAGACATTTACCATTGTGTTACCTGTAATAGCAAAATTGTATTTAGGAACAACCCCACTGTCCAGCAGTCAGTAAACGTGTCATTTTTAAATCCACACAATGGGATATTTCTTTGGCCACTAGCATTGGGAAGTTAATGCAGATGCAGTGAAAATATTGACTGTATGAAGTGAACAGAGAAGATGAGGTGAGTTTGCTGTGATTGAACCTATCTTTGCCACACTACATAAAGGAAGGTAATATGAAAAAATGAAAAGAATTATGTTAGGAAATAAGATGATGGGTAGTTTCAGGGCATTCGTAGGAAAATGGTGTTTTAGGATGATTATTCTAAAAAGAGTGTGCAAGGTGCTGTGGAGCAGGAGAGACTGAAGTCTGATCTGAAGAGCTGGCAAGTGAGAATGAAGAGGAACCAGGGAATCTGAGTGTGGTTCTTAAGGGAAATGAAGCAGAATGAATTATGTTCATCCAAAGAGAGAGGAAGGGATGCTTCCCAAGTTGATTTGCTGTTTCTTGTTTAAGAGGCTAACCAGGTGGTGGAGGGAGTGATAGAAATGGGGTAGTTGCAAACGGGGTTGGCTCTTAGGAAAGATGAATCGTTAAATTAATTTGCTGTACAGCAGAAATTAACACAACGTTGTAAATCAACTATACTTCAATTACAAATATATTGGAGGGCTTCCCTGGTGGCGCAGTGGTTGAGAGTCCGCCTGCCGATGTAGGGAACGCGGGTTCGTGCCCCGGTCCGGAAAGATCCCACATGCCGCGGAGCGGCTGGGCCCGTGAGCCATGGCCGCTGAGCCTGCGCGTCCGGAGCCTGTGCTCCGCAACGGGAGAGGCCACAACAGTGAGAGGCCCGCGTACCGCAAAAAAAAAACAAAAAAACAAAAAATAAGAATGAGATTGGAAAATAGTCATTTCACAGTTTCCATATGGTGGTCACGTTTGGGACACACACAAATATATATATATATATATATGAAAAAAAATTTTTTTTTTACTGAAAGCATGAGACCCAAGTAGAGATGAGCTGTAAATCTAAAGTGTGGTGGGGTGACTTCCCTGGTGGTCCAGTGGCTAAGACTCCACGCTCTCAATGCAGGGGGCTCCAGTTTGATCCCTGTTCAGGGAACTAGATCCCGCCTGCCGCAACTAAGAGTCCGCATGCCACAACTAAAGATCCTGCACGCTGCAACTAAAAGATCCTGCACGTCTCAGTGAAGATCCCGCATGCCACAACTAAGACCTGACACAGCCAAGTAAATAAATAAATATTAAAAAAAAAATAGTGTAGGTGGGAGGTCCTAGAACTAAAAAGTGAGTCCAACAAGGTCTCAGGATATGAGATCAACACACAAAAATCAATTGCATTTCTACCTCTGTCACCTATTTATGCCTTGCTCTCCGCAATCTGGCCACATCCCATCTTGTATGCTCCAACCTTATTTTCTTTATACAATTTCCTTACGGACTATTTCTTATTGAAAATTAATATCTCTAATGCTAGTAGATGGAAAAATAATGGGAAGAAAGTAAGGAGACAGGTACTTTTTAAAAATAAATTTATTTATTTTATTTATTATTTTTGGCTGCTTTGGGTCTTCGTTGCTGCGCACAGGCTTTCTCTAGTTGCAGCGAGTGGAGCCTACTCTTTGTTGCGGTGCGCGGGCTTCTCATTGTAGTGCCTTCTCCCGTTGCACAGCACGGGCTCTAGGCGTGCGGGCTCAGCAATTGTGGCTCATGGGCTCTAGGGCGCAGGCTCAGTAGTTGTGGCGCATGGGCTTAGTTGCTCCGCGGCATGTGGGATCTTCCCAGACCAGGGCTCGAACCCATGGCCCCTGCATTGGCAGGCAGATTTTTTTTTTTTTTTTTTCTTGCGTTATGCGGGCCTCTCACTGTTGTGGCCTCTCCCATTTGCGGAGCACAGGCTCCGGACGCGCAGGCTCAGTGGCCATGGCTCACGGGCCCAGCCGCTCCGCGGCATGTGGGATCTTCCCGAAACGGGGCACGAACCCGCGTCTCCTGCATCGGCAGGCGGACTCTCAAGCACTGCGCCACCAGGGAAGCCCGGCAGGCAGATTCTTAACCACTGCGCCACTAGGGAAGCCCTATAACTTTTTTTTAATAGGAGTATAATTGCTTTACAGTGTTGTGTTAGTTTCTGCTGTACAATGAAATGAATCAGCTATATGTATACCTATACCTCCTCCTTCTTGGACCTCCCTCCTCCCCCCCACCCCATTCTATCCATCTAGGTCATCACAGAGCACCGAGCTGAGCTCCCTATGCTATACAGCAGGTTGCCACTGTCTATTTTACGCATGGTAGTGTGTATATGTCAACCCTAAGCTCCCAATTCATTCCACCCTTCCCTTCCCCTCTGGGTCCACATGTCTGTTCTCTACGTCTGCGTTTCTATTCCTGCCCTGCAAATAGGTTCATCTGTACCATTTTTCTAGATTCCACATATATGCGTTAATATACGATATTTGTTTTTCTCTTTCTGACTTCACTCTGTATGACAGACTCTAGGTCCATCCACATCTCTACAAATGACCCAATTTCACTTCCTTTTAAAAAGCATTATCATTAAAGAAAACCTAACATTAAAGGGAAATGGAAAAGTTACCCGTAGCCTTACCCAGTTCCTAACATAATTATTTTTATTTTTTCATATTAGTTTCTTTTACGTATGGGCAAAGACAGATTCAATCACGGTGAAGTCATTTCGTGTCTTTTTCATTTCATACTAACAATGAACATGTGGAAGCCAAAGTTAAAAATACAATACCAGTTACAGTCACCCTAAAAAAAATGAGATGCTTAGGTATAAACTTACCAAAACACGTACAGGGCCTATCTGCTCAAAAATTACAAAACAACTATGAAAGAAGTCAAAGAGGACCTAAATAAACAGGTAGACATATCATGTTCATGGATTGCAAGATTCAGCACAGTAAAGATGTCACTTCACCCCAAATTGCTCTATAGGTTTGAGGTGACTGGTGTCAAGACCTCAGCCAGCTTCTTGTGTAAGCATAAAGCTTCTACTAAATTTCATATGGAAAGGCACAGGCCCTAGAATAGCTTACACAGTATTGAAGAAGAAAAGTGGGAGGAAACACTGTACCTGATCCCAAACTGTATTGTAGAGCTACAATAATCAGTACACTGTGGTATTCGTGGAGGGGATGGAAATATGAATCAGTGGGACAGAGATGTACCCACACATTTATGACCATCTGATTTTTGACAGGTGCAAAAGCAATTCAATAGAGGAAGGATAGACTTTTCAACAAATGGTGCTGGAGCAGGTGGATAGCCCTCGACCAAGAAAATGAACCTCAACATAAACCTCACCCCTTACACAAAACCGAACTCAAAATGGATTGTGGGCTTAAATGTAAAATAAAAAGTTATAATTTTTCAGAAAAAAAATAAGAGATAAAGCTAGGCAAAGAATTCTTAAACTTGATACTGAAAGTACAGTCCATAATAGTAAAAACTAATCAGGTGAACCTTATCAAAATGAAAAACTTTTGTTCTGTAAAGGACCCAACCACGAGGATGAAAAGACAAGCTACAGACTGGGAGAAAATATTTCCAAGCCTTATATCTGACAAAGGACTCATATGTAGAATATACAAACAATATTCAAAACTCAACAGTTAAAAAGTTGGGGGGGAATCCAATTAGAAAATGGGCAAAAGACATGAAAATATATTCCATTGAAAAGGTTCTGCAGATGCAAAATAAGTAAATGAAAAGATTTTCAATATCATTAACCATTAGGGAAATGCAGATTAAAACCACAATGAGCTATCACTGCACTCCTAAAATGGCTAAAATAGGAAACGGTAACAACAGCAAATGCTGGCAAGGGTCAGGAGAAACTAGATCACCCTTCCAGTGCTAGTGGGGATTTAAACTGGTAGAGCCACTCTGGAAAACAGTTTGGCAAGTTCTTATAAAACTAAACCTGAAATTATATGACCCAGCAACTCCACACGCATGGGCATTTGTCCAGAGAAATGAAAAGTTACCTTCACAAAAAACTTGTACGTGATTGTTCATAGCAGCTTTATTTGTAACAGCCCAAACTGGGAGCAACTCAACTGTCCTTCAACAAGTGAATGATTAAACAAACTGGGATGAATTGATCCCATAGAATACTACCCAGTAATAAAAGAGAATGAACCGTTAATAAATACAACACCTTGGATGAATTTCCAGGGGAGTATCAGTGAAGAAAACAACGTCCAGGGATCACATATTTTATAATTCTATTTATGTAACATTTTTGAAATGACAAAATTATAGAAATGGAAAACGGATAAGCGGCTACCAGGAGTCGGGGAGTGGGGTGGGGGGAGGTACTTGTGGCTTTGAAAGGGCAACATAAGGTTTCTGTGCAATAATGGAACTGGCCAGAATTGGAGAAGATATTTGCAAATCATATAAGGTACCTGTATCCAGAATGTATAAAGACCTCTTATAACTCAGTAATAAAGACAAATAACCCATTAAGAAATGAGCAAAGAATCTAAATAGACCTTTCTCAAAACAAACAAATGACATAGATAGCCAATAAGCATGTGAAAACATGCTCAACATTACAAGTCATTAGAGAAATGCAAATCAAAACCATAATAACGTGCCACCTCCCTCACAGCCACTAGGATGGCTGTAGTTAAGACAGAATACAACATGTGTTGGCAAGGATGTGAAGAAATGGAGCTCTTGCCGCCCTTTGCTTATGGGAATGTAAAATGGTACAGCCATTACCAAACTATTTTGGAAGACAGTTTGGTAGTTCCTTAAAAAGTTAAACAGTTACCATATGACCAACAATTCCACTCCTAGGTATATTTCCAAAAGAGTTGAAAACATATGTCATATGTTTTCATATGTTGAAAACATGTTTTCCACACGAAAACTGCAATACACAGCTTCATAGCAGCATTATTCACGAGCCAAAGATATAGGTATAACTGAATAACTTTGCTGTATACCTGAAACTAACAACATTGTAGATCAACTATAATATAAAATTTAAAAAAAAAAAGAGCCAAACAACAGTGGAAACAACCCAAATGTCCATCAATTGATTGAACAAAATGTGGTATATCCATACAATGGAATATTTAGTCATAGGAAGGTGGAATGGCATATTGACACATGCTATAACATGGGTGAAGCTTAAAAACGCTATGTTAATGAAAGAAGCCATACCAGAAAGGGCCCCGTATTGTGTGTTTCCATTTATATGAAGCATCTAGAATAGGCAAACCCATAGAGACAGAAAGTAGGTTAGTAGTCCTCAGGAGCTAGTGTGAGGAAGGAATGGGGAGTAACTGCTTGGTGGGCGTGGGGTTTGGGGGGAGGTGAAGAAAATGTCCTAAAATTAGATTTAGTGATGTTGCACACCTCTTGAATATACTAAACACCATTGAGTTTTACACTTTAAAAGGGTGAATTTTGTAGGATATAAAAAATATCTCAAAGCTGTTTAAAAAGATACTGCATCATTTATCTAATATTGATGGACACTTTATATTATAGTTGATTTACAGTGTTGTGTTAGTTTCTGCTGTACAGCAAAGTGAATCAGTTATACATATACATACATCCACTCTTTTTTAGGTTCTTTTCCCATATAGGGCATTACAGAGTATTGAGCAGAGTTCCCTGCGCTATACAGTAGGTCCTTATTAGTTATCTGCTTTATATATAGCAGTGTGTATATGTCAATCCCAAATCTCCCAATTTATCCCTCCCCGCGCCCTTTCACCCCTGGTAACCATAAGATTGTTTTATACATCTGTGACTCTATTTCTGTTTTGTAAATAAGTTCATTTGTACCATTTTTTTAGATTCCACATACAAGTGATATCATATGATATTTCTCTTTCTCTGAAGTAAGTCTGACTTCCTTCACTCAGTATGACAATCTCTGGGTTGATGGACACTTTGAATGTATCCAGTTTTTTCTAATACAGCGCTGCAGGAATGTTCTTGTACATTTGTCTTTATGCCCTAACCTCCTGATGTTTCTACTAGATATAGTGTTTCCAGTCGGTTTATTGGTCATAAGCAGCATACAGCCTTTACTGTGGTAGCCAGTGACCAAAAGTAGAGCGGCCTTTATTTATGGTGCTTAGACCTTTCGAATATCCATAAAAATGAAATTTCATGGAGCCTGCCATGACAGCGTTTATAGTCCTGCATGGAGAGAGGGTTGGATAACCCTGGTGCTTTTGTGGGGAGAGGGGAGAGTGAGAGAGATGGAAGGAGGGAAAGGATGGAGAATGAAAAGCGAGTCGGCCAGTAACAGCCTCCTGTCTGTTTTTACCTGCTGTCAGAATTTCCTTTCTGGCTTTGCAGAGAGCTTTTCCTCTTGGGATGAACTGGACTGATTATGGTTTGCTTTTGCCCTGTTAGGTGAAGGCATCCTCATCTCCTCGGACGCTGCGGAGCTGCTGGATTTCATAGACAACCAGGGCCAGGTGCACGTGATCCAGAAATACCTTGAGCGCCCGCTGCTTCTGGAGCCAGGTCATCGCAAGTTTGACATCCGGTAATGCTTCCGTGTCTGGAGTTTTTGTTTTACAAATCTGGAAAAAATGCAGTGGTGTGTGATGAGGAGGGTTACATGGATTATAGGGAAGTATTGGACTTTGTTTAATGTTCCCCAAGTTGAGTGCAGCTGAACAGAACCGAGCTTCTGTTTTTCTTTCACTCTTTCTCTTGTGTTTCTAGAAAATGTTATTAAGGTGATGAATTTTCTTTTTTTTAAAGTATTCTCTTTAATGAAGGTGACTTGTGGATCCAAAGAATGGATATCAGTGTGTGGGGCTTGCTTTATGAAAGAAGCAGAGAGATATACATAGAACACCTAATACAGTCACAGCAGATCATGTGATCCTGCCAAAGAGCATGTCCTCACTTTATTATCCGTGTCCCACTTTTTAAGGTTTTCATGAACACACCTCAGGGGTTTGGACTTCACCTTTGCGAGCAAAGGACCTGCAAGGAGAAGGAGGTTGCATGGTGCTTTCAAAAGCTGAAAGCCCTGCCCCAGCTTGCCCTGAACCTTACTGTCATCTCCCCATCCAGGACTCTTTGTCACTTAGGTGCCTTCACGTTGACTTGCTGCTTCTCGAACACCAGTGCTGTCATATCAGCTTCCGCAGAAAGTCTTTTTTTTTTTTTTTTTTCTTTGCGGTACGTGGCCCTCTCACTGTTGTGGCCTCTCCCGTTGCGGAGCACAGGCTCCGGATGCACAGGCTCAGCGGCCATGGCTCACGGCCCAGCCGCTCCGCGGCATGTGGGATCTTCCCGGACCGGGGCACGAGCCCGTGTCCCCTGCATCGGCAGGCGGACTCTCAACCACTGCGCCACCAGGGAGGCCCCAGCAGAAAGTCTTAAGATTACTAAAAGAGCAAACATGGTAACTGGAGGTTTCATAGATTAACTGTAAAAACCAAGCCACTCACATCTCTTCGAAATGCTGTATCTTTTGAATGGATCAAAGTCTCCTTGTCAGTTACGGTGAAATGTTTTCTTTGCCTCATTATGGTGATAATCCACTGTCTTGGCTAACTGGCATGGCTTGCCTTGTATATATTTTTTTTTTTTAATTTTTTTTGGAGTATAGTTGCTTTACAATGTTGTTATGGCTTGCCTCGTATAATTTTAGAACATACCTCCTTCCTCTGTTTCCTCCCAGAAAAATCAAGGTGTGGGGATGATATATATAAATATGCAGAAACTTTGGGTAACTTGAATATTTTATTGACTTGCAGAAGCTGGGTCTTGGTGGATCATCAATATAATATCTACCTCTATAGAGAGGGTGTACTTCGGACTGCTTCAGAACCGTATCATGTGGATAATCTCCAAGATAAGACTTGCCATTTGACTAATCACTGCATTCAAAAGGAGTACTCAAAGAACTATGGGAAGTATGAAGAAGGGAACGAAATGTTCTTTGAGGAGTTCAATCGGTACCTAACAAGTGCTTTGAACATCACCCTGGAAAGTAGTATCTTACTACAAATCAAACATATAATAAGGTAACTTATTCATTTCTCTTTCGGTTAAATGTGTCTTAAAGGAGCTTTGGGAGTTTGTGCCTTTCAAGGAGTGATTCCATTTACATTGTCTAAGAACAAAAATTATTCGTTACATCCCTTTGTTATCCTTTTAATATCTACAGGATCTGTAATGCTGTCACTTTTTTTTAATCCTTGTGTTGGTAACTACCTCATGTTGGTAGTTTATATCTTCTATCTTTCACTTGGACAGATCGGTTAGAGGCTTACTTATCAATTTTATTCATCTCTTCTAAAAGTCAGCTTTTGGCTTTATAGATTTTCTTTGTTGTTTCTGTTTTCAGTTTCTTTGATTAATGTTCTTAATTATTTTCATCCTTCTGCTTTTGGGAGGTTTGATTTGCTTTTCTTTTTCTAGTTTCCTTAAAGTGCAAGGTTAGATCATTGATTGGAGAGATTTATTTTTTTATAAAATATAAGCATTTAAGGCCATCAATTTTCTTATAGGTACTCGTTAGCTGTATCCCACAGATTTTGCTATGTCATGTTTTTGTTTTCATTTTATTTTTGTTTACTTTTGGCTGCTTTGGGTCTTCGTTGCTGCACATGGGCTTTCTCTAGTTGTGACGAGCGGGAGCTACTCTTTTTTTTTTGTTTTGTTTTTTTGTTTTTTTTGTTTTTTTTTTTTTTTTTTTTTTGGCGGTACGTGAGCCTCTCACTGTTGCAGCCTCTCCCGTTACAGAGCACAGGCTCCGGATGCGCAGGCTCAGCGGCCATGGGTCATGGGCCCAGCTGCTCCGTGGCATGTGGGATCTTCCCGGACCGGGACACAAACCCGTGTCCTCTGCATCGGCAGGTGGACTCTCAACCACTGTGCCACCAGGGAAGCCCTTTTTATTTTTTTGTATTTTTGGGGGCTACTCTTTTGTTGCGGTGTGTGGGCTTCTCATTGTGGTGGCTTCTCTTGTTGTGGAGCATGGGCTCTAGGTGCACGGACATCGGTAGTTGTGGCATGTGGGCTCAGTAGTTGTGGCTCTCGGGCTCTAGAGCGCAGGCTCAGTAGTTGGGGTGCGCGGGCTTAGTTGCTCCGCGGCATGTGGGATCTTCCCAGACCAGGGCTCGAACCCGTGTCCTTTGCATTAGCAGGTGGATTCTTAACCACCGCGCCACCAGGGAAGACTGTTTTCATTTGATTAAAATATTTTCTAGTTTCCCTTGTGACTTCATCTTTGACTGGTGTTATTTAGAAATGTTTGCTTAATTGCCAAATATTTGGGGATTTTCCAGGAATTTTAATTTCATTATGGTCAAAGAAAATACTTTGTATGGTTTTGCATCTTTAAAATTCGTTAAAGTTTGTTTCATGGCCCAGAATATGGTCCATCTTAGTGAATGTTCCACATGCACTAAAAATAATGTTTATTCTGCTATAGTTGGGCAGAGTGTTCTATAAATGCGCTTTAGGCAAAGGTGGTTGGTAGTGTTGTTCAAGTCTTTCACATCCTCGATCATTTTCTGTTCTACTTGTTCTGTACATTATTGAAAGGTAAAATATTGAAGTCTCCAAGTATAATTACAGATTTATCTATGTCTCCTTTTAGTTGTTTTTTTCTTTTTTAAATAAATTTATTTATTTATTTTTTGGCTGCGTTGGGTCTGCTCTGCTGCACGTGGGCTTTCTGTAGTTGTGGTGAGCAAGGGCTGCTCTTCGTTGCGGTGTGAGGGCTTCTCTTGTTGTGGAGCAGAGGCTCTAGGTGCACAGGCTTCAGTAGTTGTGGCACTCAGGCTCAGTAGTTGTGGCACACTGGCTTAGTTGCTCCACAGCATGTGGGACCTTCCTGGACCAGGGCTCGAACCCATGTCCCCTTCATTGGCAGGTGGATTTTTAACCACTGCGCCACCAGGGAAGTCCCTCCTTTTAGTTTTATTAGGTTTTCGCTTCGTACATTTTGAAGATCTGTTGTCAGGTGCATATGCATTTAGAATTGTTATCTCTTTGAGGGGAATTGACCTCTTTATCATTATGTAGTTTCTGTCTTTATCTCTGGTAATATTTCTTATCTTGAAGTCTATGTTGTCTGTTATTAATATGGCCACTCCAGCTTTCTTTTGATTAATGGTATATGTCTCTTTCCATCCCTTTACCCTTCTTCTGTATTCTATTCTATATTTAAAATGGGCTTTTGGTAGACATCATACCATTGGATTTTGCTTTCTTTTGCTTTTAATCCGATATATCATGTCTTTTTTTTTTAATTTAATTTATTTTTTTATACAGCAGGTTCTTATTAGTCATCAGTTTTATACACATCAGTATATACATGTCAATCCCAATTGCCCAATTCATCATCATCTCTGTTTTTTAATAGTTGTGTTTCTACCATTTAAATTTAAAGTAATTACTGACTTCATGGGATTTATGTCTACCATTTTATTACTCATTGTCTGTTTGTCCCTTCTTTTTTGTTTGTTTGTTTTTCATTTCCCTGTTTCCTGCCTTCTTTTGAATTATTTGAACTTTTTTAGAGTTCCATTTTAATTTTTCCACTGAGTATTTGGCCAAATCTCTTTGTATTTTTGTTTGTTTGTTTGTTTTAGTGGTTACTCCAGGGTTTATTATATACATACTTAATATATGATAGATTGTCAGGTTGGATTAAAAAATAAAAAAAGACCAAACTATATGCTCTCTACAAGAAACCCCCTTTAAATATAAAGGGAGACAAATATTCTTTTACGTTTACCCAGATATTTGCAGTTTCCTTTGCTCTTCCTTCAGTCCTCAAGTTCCAAGTTTCATTTCCCCTTCAGACTTCAGCATTTCTTTTAGAGCAGTTCTGCTGGTGATACGTCCTCTTAATTTTCCGTCATCTGAGAATGTCTTTAGTTTACCTTATTCCTGAAGGATTTTTTTCACTGGAGTTATACAAATATAATGTCAAGCAAAAAATTACAAATTGGTCCTGTTCATATAAATTGAAAAACAAGCAAAACTAAGTAATACATTATTTGGAGGAATGCACACATGTGGTGAAAATCTAGAGAGAAACAAAGTAATGATAAACACAACATTCAAAATGGTGGTTAACTCTGGAGGGGAAGCGGGAGGGACCCAAGGAGGGGGTTTAAAGGTATTGAATTGTAAGTATATGGGTAGTCATTAGTGCTACATATATTTTAAAATCACAAGTCATTATTTTTATTATTTGTATAGTTAATATCCTGTTAGATTTCCCCATACGTTTTAACCCTTTATGACCCCAGGCCACTAGTACATATGACTGTCCTTTCCCCACTGCGTTTTGGTGTGCCTCTGTTATAAATCAGGTGGCCGTTTATGTGAGAGTCTGTTCCTGGGATCTCTGTTCTGTTCCGTGGTCTGTTTATCTGCCCTGTCGTTACCACCCTGTCATGATGACTGAGCCTTTTTCCTTAATGTATTCTTACACAGAGTCTAACAGAATAATTACAGGGCTCAGAGTTCCGTTTCTTCAGGGAATATATGTGGTTAGAATTCTGACACCAGATAAGTCAAGTATACTGAAGAAAGAATTCATATTTTAGGGAAAAGATTTATTTGATATTTGATATACCCCCTCCTCCTCATTGTTCTGTGCACTTCAGAGAGTGTTGCTACTTTGGTGCTATTAACGCTCCTCACGGCTCTCATGTTCTTTTTTTCCCCAGCTAGCTTCCCCCAAACGTCCCACTCCAGCTGAAAAAAAAGATGTACTATATAAAGTCTCTGATGATGAAAAAAAATTCTTTAAAGTGAATTATTAACTTGAACTCCCAGCAGATAAAAAAATATTTCGTTTTGATTTGGTTCTGGCTTTCAGTTTTTCCTGTAAGCGTTGGAGTGTAATGTTTCTTTCAATTTTTATCCTTCAGTATTGTTGGGTTTTATTTTTAAGTCATGAGCACCGATTAAATTAAAATTTTTTTCTAAATTATATTTTAAAGGGCATTTTAATAAAAACAAAAGTTAAGGGTATTCTCTCATAGAATAGAGATGAAATATAGAAAAAAATGTGATATGTGGCTTGCAGGTTAGGGATGAATGGGAGAAGAAATTTTTATTCCAATTGGTTCTTAAGTGACTAACTGTCCAAAGTGATTTTTAAAGGTTTAAACACATCTATAGAAAACTTTTCCTCTTCGAGAAAAAAAGGAGGAAACTGATGCTTGGGGTGAAGGGAGGTTGAGGGGAGCAAGACCCTGGTGCCAAGTTCACAGAAGCCTCAGTTCTTTTAAAGTCATAAGCCGAAAGCTACTTATAAGGACACGTCTTTTTTCTTTTTGGCCATTCGGCACGTGGGATCTTAGTTCCCCGACCAGGGATCAAACCCGCGCCCTCTGCATTGGAAGTGCGGAGTCTTAACCACTGGACCGCCAGCGAAGTCCCCTTCTATTTATTCTTCCTTTTCTTCTTCTTTATTTATTATTATTTGTTTAGGACACATCTTTTTCCTTCTAAATATACAGCTGTGTAGAAGGACAGCTATGTCTGGTAATCTTAGAGTCATCATAACATATATTGCATTTACTAAGATAAAAATTTTGCCCCAACATCTAGTTGAGGGAAAAATCAGTGAAGAGAGCTTCATAAAACAGAAATGGCACAGGTTTTTTCTGGGATGGTTGTATTAGATAACAGTTCTTTATTATTCATAAACAATAGATTCATGATTATCGTAATTCATGATAAATTCATAAAATATGCTTGCATTTATTAGATGCTTCCTAGCTACCAGAAGTCATGCCAAGTTCCTTATGTAGTTATTTCATTGAACCATCTCAGCACTGGGAGTAAGTAGTATTTTTACCCCAACTTTACAGACAATGAAGTCAACACTTGGCTTAAAGAGGTTAAAAAATTTGTCCGAGCTTCTGGCTTCAGCAGCCTGACCTCAGGCATCATGTACTTTTCCATTATGTCTCTGAGATTCACTTTCAGCTTTTCTGTGTCACTAAAATCCTCCAATTTTTGCAAACAGTAGTTGATCCTAATAATAAATCCTATTCTGTATTTCAATATCTTGTTTCATTATATAAAGCTTTAAAAGCAACTATTGGGCACTTGAACGGGAGCTAGTGAAAGAAATGAACGGAGTCAGCATTCTTTTTGCAAATTCTGCTCATCACTAAATGGTGGTCCATTCTTTTAATATAGCAAAAATATGTAGAAATGTTTTGCTTATTATTATTGTTTGTTTGTTTGTTTTGCTTATTATAAACAAATGTGGCAGCAGTCCACCTGTTGGAGGAGTCTACATTTGTAGGGGCCACGGCGACTCAGCACTTGCTGGGAAAGCAGCCACTACTTGTAAGAACAAGAGTGATGGTAGAGTTTTCTAACAAATACGTCACATCATCTTGAATAATCTATTGGTAATGCATTTAAAAAAGAGAATTAAGCCAAAGCCTAATTTTCATCAGCACATTCGACGTAAAACCATCCAAGCACCTCTCCCAGTGGTCCTTCTCCCTGGACCACCCCATCCTCAGTGAGCGCCCCCTCTGCCCTGCAGGAGCTGCCTCATGAGCGTGGAGCCCGCCATCAGCACCCGACACCTCCCTTACCAGAGCTTCCAGCTCTTCGGCTTCGACTTCATGGTGGATGAGGAGATGAAGGTCTGGCTCATTGAAGTCAACGGCGCCCCTGCTTGTGCTCAGTAAGCCTGAACACCACTGGGTTTTTGTCTGTTTGCTTTTATCTAAAATGAGATTTACTGCATTTCATGCAGTTTGAAGTCCATGCAGCAAAGGAGACTAGCACGATTTTTAATGCATTTAAAAATAAGGGCAGGGCTTCCCTGGTGGCGCAGTGGTTGGGAGTCCGCCTGCCGATGCAGGGAACACGGGTTCGTGCCCCGGTCCGGGAGGATCCCACATGCCGCGGAGCGGCTGGGCCCGTGAGCCATGGCCGCTGAGCCTGCGCGTCCGGAGAGCCTGTGCTCCGCAACGGGAGAGGCCACGACAGTGAGAGGCCTGCGTACCGCAAAAATTAATTAATTAATTAATTAATTAAATTTAATTAAATAAAAAACGGGGGGCGGGAGGCAAATACACAAAGTCCTAGTCTCCTTGAGTCCCTGGAAGAGAACGGTTTGGGTTAAAACACGTGGGAACTTAGTTCTACAGGGGGAGTAGTCCGTCTTGGCAAGGCGGTGAGCTCCTGTTACCTGGGTGTCCAACCACTGACCCTTTGAGTGCCGTCAAGGAGGATGTACCAGCGACAGGAGGGCTTTGGGAGGACCTCGGCCAGCAGGGGGCTTTGCTGAGTCATTTCTTATCCCTTTTCCTCCCTGTATGTGTTGAGCACTTAGCACCTGTGGGTGGTGGATGCCGTGAGAGTTCTAAACAAAGCTAGTAATACCAGCAGAGACCCTCTCCCGTGACAAGGTGATGAGTCAGCGTGTCCTGTGAGTCAGGGAGAAAGTGATGACCAAGCAGTTCAGAGGCTCCCTGGGCAGGAAGTGGTCTGAGAAGGTACCATGGACATCATGGAGCTGAGGCTGAGGTGTAAGAGGAGAGTGTCATGTGTGCTAAAGGGGAGGGAACCCAGAATCTAGTGGGACCTTGCTCTGGGCCAGGCTCTAGGGGAGATGCACAGATGAACAGACCCTGCCCTTGGGGAACTTCTGTTCCTCCTGGGAGGAGCCTGGCTGCAGCATGGCATGAGTGTCGGGGGTGAGGAAAGGTGAGGGTGAAAAGGTGAGTTGGGGCCCCACTGTGGGAGGCCTTACGTGTAAGGGAGTCATTTGGACTTCATCCTCAAAGGCTGTTGGTTCTTCTGAGGATCCACATTCATTAGTGTCAAGACCCTTTCACGGTTCCCCACGTCCACGTCTTGGAGAAATTGAGGTGTGATCTTCCGACGACGTAGGAAAAAGGCCTGCACCTCCAAGGGGCAGTTCTGTCATTTGCCTCCTGCTTCGTGTTAACACATAAGCAGTTAACACACAACACATAAGCAGTTCTGTCATTTGCCTCCTGCTTCGTGGCTGTGACCTGGCAGGTGGGATTCTGTCTCACTCATCCGTGCCCGCCGCTAACGAATACCCGTTAGATACCCCTAACCCGCCAGGCTCTGGACTGGGCTCTGGGTCACAGTCGTGAGCAGAGAGACCCGGGCCCCGCCCTCAGTGGAGGGAGACTGGCCGAGACAAAGGACAGGACGAATATAGATTACAAACTGGGACACACGCTTTCATAGGGTAAGAGATGTTAGAAGGTAATATAATTGAGCAAAAAGTCCCCTTGGGAGGTGATGTTTGGAGCCGAGACCTGAAGGAGAAAGGAGACGAGGGGTGGAGAGCAGGATGTTTCACATCCTTCACCAGGTCCACAGGGGCGTCCATGTTCTCCTGTCCTTCCTGTCAGAGGTTTGTCCCTTCCTTGTGCTCTGGACCCGATCCCCTCCCTCCAGGCAAGAGGACGGGATGAGGATGCCTCCCTCATCTGCTTTCTCCCTCTTGGCTGCATTGTTCCCACCAGAGTGTGGCGCTCAGCAGATTTCCCCAGCGATTAGGAAAAGCCCTCCTCTGAAGCCCCGCCCTGCTCCCTCCACAGCCACACTTCTAGAGAAGCCACACGTGCACACGCTGTCTCCTTGTCCTCAGTCCGCATCCACGCTCTGGTCCACTCCGGGCTGCCTCGCATCCCAGCCGCTGCACAGAAACTCTTCTTTTCAGGTCCCCAGCCAAGCCCATATTGCACTCCAGGATTTTAAAACCAGCAAATGACATCGCAGCCCGGAGTTGCAGGCCAGTATCTGCACCTGTCTTCCCGGCGCCCTGCAAGGATGTGTGTGGATTTCCAGTAGGCGTCCCACCCGGCCAGAGTCGCCCATCTCACTGAATGTCCAGCCCCCCCCGCCCCGCCCCCGCTTTCCAGGTGACCGAGACCCTGCCCCCGCCTTTCCATTACCCTCAGGTTCTGTCCATCGGGGCCTGGTCAGGTCTGCTTCCAGCCTCGCCAGCCCTCTGCTCCCCCCACCCGCTGCCCTTGCTCTCCCAAACGTCGTCCTCCAGCTTTGCTTTTGCAGAGAGCCTGCTAACTGGGTCTCCGCACCTTCTCTTGCCCCAGTGGAGTCCGTTGTCCCCCGAGCAGCCAGAAACCAGGCCCTGCTGTTCTCTAGCCTTCCCCCTGCGCCTGGGACCGAAACCTGACTCCCCTCCACCTGCTGGGCTACTGCCCCGCCTACCTCTCCAGCCTCACCCAGCGCGTC